CATTGAAGTGATAGTTAAAACTATCACCCTCCCAGTGAAGCAGGCATGAATGTTGAAACACAAATAGCAATGAGCGCCCAACTTCCGCCTTTACCGCAAACGAAGAACACAAACTCCAAATGCTTAGTTGGAAGTGAAAGCACCAAAGTAGCTGAACATCAACAAGATATTATCAACAAATGCCATAATGACAACACAGAAAATAATGGATGCGAAATCTCGAGGAAGTGTGAAAACCACAAAAAGGATGATCTTGACGATAAACAGAACAAGAAACTGAAGATTTGATCAGCAAAAAATGTAGATTCAACCAAGAAATCATGCGGAAACATGTTGAATAAATCTAATGGCTTCTCTAAGGTAAATGTTGAAAAGTTGTCGATTTATCTGAGAGTGAGAAACAAATCTAATCCAGTTTATAAATGAGCAGTCTAGCTCAATTATTCGCGCAAAATCATAAGAGTAGTAAGTTTCTCAAAACATCGGTGATCTTATTAGGAGTTCAAGACTCAATGCTATGAAAATAGCAAGAAGTAGTTGAGAGCCAGTACAAGTTACCGCGATAGGTGTCCGCTTCCTGCTCCACAGAATCTTTAACCATTTTCCAGAATCGTTCAGAAACTGCCTTGCTCATGTTCTCAGTGGTCATCTGAGCCAACTTGAGCGCTCCCTCTCGAAAAAGACGTGACTTTTTGAAAAACTCGGCTTCATACTCCTTGATGCTCTCGATACTCTCGTCTTTGGAACCTTTAGGGATTATCAAAACTGTATGATCATGAATAACCAATTCAATATCGGGGTTTCAATACAACGCTTGTTCACCTTTTCCTGTAACAACAGCGTAGTAGCCGAGAGCTTTCATTGGAAACAGTCGTCCTTCGAGAATTTCACGGATCTAGACAAAAGACCAACAATTACGCAAACTGCTCTCAGGTTCTCACTGACAAATAAGTACGACACTCACCCGATTTGGATTGTAGAGGTTGGCCTCAGCCAGATCAACCTTTGTTAGCACAAAAATTGTTCGCTTCCCCTGCGGGTCAACTGAAGCGACTAGATCAGTCACATTACTCCTCTCAGCATCAATGCTACCATCTGATAGGAATAACAACAATGAGTTCTGATTAAGAGGAAACGCGATTATGATGGGGAAACCCTTGCCTTGTATACACAGGATAATGGCGTTTGGGTTATCCATGTACTGCTTCACGAGTTTTCGTATGCTCTCGCGGGCTCCAAGCTCCATCCCAGTAGTCTGCGTGGAGATAATTCCCGGCAGATCAACCAAAACCATACGCTGCAAGCCAGGACCCTTGACACTCAGCGAGATCACCTCAGTGCTGATGGTCTTGCCATCTGCCACGAGACCTTGCATCCGAAGCTTGAACGAAAAGAAAGACCAGAGAGGGAGCATTTCAAGAAATCCATAGCTTAACGAGTAAAAGCCAGTACCTCTATCTCATTTCGCAAGCTAGCAAGCTCCGTCTCGTTTGTCAAATCATATTCTTTGGGGCTGTCCCGAAAGGCAGCCACATGGTAAGGACCTTCAGAAAGGGTGACTTTGACAGGAGAACGAGTCATCATCTCGCCAGACCCCCGAGGAAAAATGCGTGCTTGAGCTATCATCTCGAGAACCGACGTCTTCCCCGAACTTTGATCACCGACAACCACAACCCTTGGCAAATGATCCTAGGAAAGGTAAGAACTAATCCAATTGTTTCAAGCTATGAGAGTGCATGAAAATGAGCGAATGTTGCAAACCAACTTGAATATTGTAGTCGGTGTCAAGATTAGATAGCTCATCGAGAACCTCGGAGTACATATCAATTAGCGTTTTCTATAGTCGACTAAAAGTTATAAATATGCCAAACTTTAATG